TAAATTGACTTTGCCTGCCATCGTTTAGGGTGCAGCATGGATATAAAACACCCACCCACCCACAGTCACAGGCACATTCACATTCACATTCATCCACGCCCCAAACATTGCCAGAGTGCTGAGTCTGAGTGCAGCAATTTTTTATGCTCCGTTGGGCAACGACAGCCCAGAATCCTCCGAATCCCAGGGTCCCCCGGATGGATCCATTTCGATGCCACTTTCGCAGGAAGGTCCTCCTATTGCCCACACCTCCAGACTTTGCACACAGAGCGTTGGCAATCTATAAATATCTAAAATCCCATAAAACTCAGCTCAACCCAGCAAATGTCATCATTGGTATTGTGGCCATCGAACAGGTGAGAGGATGGCTACCTGCTACCTGCTACCTGCTACCTGCTTGCTGCGCCTATCCAAATCCAAGTCCAAATCCGAATTCGAACCCAAATCGGAGTCCTCAGTGCGGTCGCCTTTCAATTGCACCGGGCTGCCAGGAATAGGAATCCAAAATCCAGGAGGCGACGGGCTGCAATTGGGATTGGGATTGGGACAATATTTGAGGATGATTGCATGCTTGTGCAAGCGGCTTTCATGTACGTGAACGGCAAATTTATTTGCACAACTGCGATTGATGCTGGCATTGCACATACACCAGTCCTACCACACTGCGCACAAAACATTTAAATTAAGTTTAGCACCACATCTAATATTTTGAGAACTTAATTCAGTTAGCAATGAGAGGAATACGAAGGGTATTTAGACATAATACAAGTATACAACATTTTCTATGACGAAGGCTGAAAATAAATTATATTGTTATTGATAAAAGTTAATAATAGGCTTGAAAAAAATAAAACTGCAACTTAACACTCAAACAGAAAATAATAAGAAGCAATTTATATTTTAAAATATATAAATGACTTTATAAAATACTCCACAATTTTCTCTATGCTAAGACACCATTTGTTTTTACAAGCAAAAATTCGTTTGCTTAAATCTGTTTGAAAATTAAACAAATCAGCTAAAAATTACACTTCATGATCAACATTTAAACAAATTTGATATACAATTTTTTAAATACTTATAAGGTAAAAAATGTTTGTAAAATAAAATGATTATTTTCTAAAATTCAGAGCAACTTAAGTTAGGGAATCTTTTTTTCAAGTATTATATGATTGCAATTTCTTTGTTATGTTGTTAGTTTTAATGGCAGGTCGATAATAAGATATGTTAATTGATATATATGTTGGGGAATACCCCAGTTTGCATTCAAGAGACTTAAGAATGCTTTTTTCTGAATGCACTAGGGCTGGCATTCGGAAAATCCGGGCCTCCGTCACTCGGAGTTTGGCATTTGGCAAATGCTCGAAGCTCGAAGCTTGAAGCTCGTCTCCTGATCAGTACCATAAAAGTCTGTTGCATAAACCAATTTCGCATTTGCTTCGCCACCAAATGCAGATGCCCCCCAGGGCGAATGGGTTTTTTTTTTTTTTTGGTGAGGGAGGGGAAAGAAAGTTGAAATTCGAAAGTAGAAAGTAGAAAGGCGGTGGAAAAATTCTGTCAACGCAACTTCTTCGACTGGCAGCAGAATCGCTGGTTGATAACGTAAACCGCTTTGATTTTTATTTAACTGCACATTTCCCCCCACCCCCTTCCGACGATTGACATTTAATGGCAACTTGTGGCGGATTTTCGATTGCAATTTCTGCGGTTTTCCAATTTTCCCCAATTTCACAATTTTCCATTTGCCTTCGCTTATTGCATTTATTTATTTTGTGCTCGCCCGCCCTCCTCTTTGCTTTGCGTTTGCTTTTGCTTTTTTAGCCTTTCTGTCGGAGCGAGTGAAATTGATAATTTATAAAATTGCTGGCAAATGGCAAAGAAAAAAAAACGAAAAAAAAAGAAATGAAAAACAGGTGAAAAAAGGCGAAGTAGGCAGCCATTTGGCCACCTTTTTAGTGGCGTGTGCTGCAGCACATTTGCCGCGTTTGCCTCATGAAATATTTCTCAAGTTTCGGCCATTACCTTGACTTGATAGAAAGCATCCTGCGGCAGCCTGGTGGCCACTTTATGGCGGGTATCCTGCATCCTTGGTCCCTAGTACACCTCTCCCCCCTGTCATGCATTAAATTATGCAAAACACACACACTCCCAAACACACACACACACACACACACTTTCCAAGGACTTTTTCCTTTTGTGTCTTTCGATTCATTCTTGTTTTTTCTCGCCCCGCTTTAAAGAAAATATATTTTGCACTTGGCTGTTGCTTTTACTTAGCCCAGTGAAGCATACAAACTCACACACATATCTACAGCTCAGGGCAAAATAATAAAAGTATTTCAAAAGCGTGAATAAAAATGTTTTTCTCATTTAACACCTAAGAACTGGTGACCTCAAAAAACAGAGACATAAACAGGTAAGCAAATTATTAATAATTAAAAATGTATTAAATATTATAATTATGTAAAAGACAACATTGCACAACAAATAGTAATATTGCTCTAAAACTAATATAATTTGTGATTAAAAGTGCCTATTAAAGCATATTAAAAATAATTGAAATGTATCATTGCATACATTAAAAATTATGTACATATATTTGAAGCATTAATTGGAATTAGTAAAATTACTTATATAAATATATTTATATATATTATGTACATTATTCTTAAACTTTAAAAAAACCCACAAGTACAGTTATTTTTTATTTGATTGTATATGAATATATATATATATTTGTATTTAGGTAAAGTTTTCTTTTGAGTTGCACTAATAGCTACATTGTTCTATGCATACATTTAAATATACATTGTGCTATATATTTCTTTCACCACGGCTGTAAATTTGTGCTTCATAGCCTCACCCTCTTAAGTTAGCACTCCCAAACCGCCAAACTTCCACCCCACGTATTTATTTGGCGCTTCGCTGCTTTTATTTTATTGAAATTTATGATTTCTGACACAGAATTTATGTTGTTTTGCATTTGGGCGAGGAGTGTGTGTGTGAGTGTTTGGTGGGGGCATAAAATAAACCTCAAATACTCGTAAAATGCCCAGGCACCCAGGCTCGAACTCCTTGCTTTCCAGATCCCCTCCGCCTTGCCTAGCCCTCTTGTATATATGGTATATACTATATAGTACATATACCCATACCCCATAGGTATACGTATTCGTATTCGTATCCGTATCCGGGCATCCGGGTATCCGGGTATTTGGGAGCTTCTCTTTGGTCCCGACCAATGCCAGTGAATTATTTAATTCGTATAAATATTGAAAACTCAATTTTTTATGATGTTTTCCCGTTGGTTTATTGCTCTTTTGCGGCGCTTTCATATCGCATAACTTGCCCCGGCCACAGGATCCCCCATCTGCAAACCGCTGTATTTGCCAGAGACATTGCGTATTGATATTTCACACTTCCGTGGCCAGCAAAAAATATAAGAAGAATTCGCATTGAATTTAAATCCTTCGTGAAAATCCCCATGAATAAACTCAGCGGGCGATGGCACAACAAGAAAAATAATCGAACAAAAATTAACATCCGCTGGTTTTGTGAATATATCAGCACAAAAAGGGTATGTTTCAGGTTAGCTTTAGACCGGATGTGTATTTAATTCTTTTTCTGCCAAAAAAATGGGTTCCCTTTAGCTGACCAAAAATAAAAAGTTTGCTTTTGACGAAACCAGCAATTAAGGTTTTCAAAAGTTACCTTCGTTTTTGGGAATTTTATTAGTAATTCAAGAGCTATTTTGATTAACTTTGGTTTGGCATAATACAGCAAGTAAAGACCAAAATCCATTGAATCATTATAGTAGTAGAAATACAATAGAAAAGAGATATCTTATCCCAAAGGGTCTTTGTGACAGGTTATTTATAATATTCGTTTGAGCTAATTACTAAATACATTTAAAGTTCGGTAAACTTTTAAAAAACTAAAACTATCAATGTCAAAATATGTTAACTTTGATTTATAGAAAATAAATCGATTAGGTATATGCCATTTTAATTTAAGTTCAACTAATGTGTCTACAAAAACTTGCTAGTTTGGTAAAGCTTTTTTAGAAAGCATCCACTATAGAGGTACACATTGCCCTGCCCTTTTTGAAATTAACAACTTTAGCCCCCTTGAGAATATGCTGTTCGGAATTCAATGTTTCAAGTACGAAACACTTGATTTTATCTCTGTGTGCACTCTTCACATTTTGAATACCGACCAATAAAATTCGTATCTCCTGGTAAGAGTAAGTAAAGTAAAGTAAAGCAACTCGGAACCATCACAGACAAGGTAGGGATATTTCCACACAAATCCGGATACAAGTGCGCACTCCAGCAGACATACACTCCAGTCCAATCCAATCCAATCCACACAGTCCACATGCCACAGCCCACATCCACATGCCAAAGAATAATCCCCAAAAGATGAAAATTGTGTAAAATTTGTGTGTTGGTTTCACTGATTAAGGATGGCTTACTGGCTGGTTGTCGACTCCCCCCCCCATCAGGGGAAATCTCTTGAAAGCCAAAAAGATGAATAGACCAGGCCAGCATCTAATATGTGCGAAATTTATCAGCCTCGATACACACACAAAAACACACAAACAAACACACAATCTGAAAGGGGGAGAAAGGATATTCAGGAGCCATGCAGAAGCAGCAAGGACGAAGGCAAACGGCATGGAAAATCGCAATAATAATTTTGCCTTTCAGCTTCGGTTTCGGTTTCTGTGGCATCCGAAAAAGAAGAAGGTGGATTGTGTGGCTTGCGAACAAGACCAGTGTGTGCATGTGTGTCCGCCTCAAGGATGCTGGCATCCAAGGATGCGGATTCGGATGCGGATGCGGATGCGGATGCGGATGCGGATGCCCAGCCATGTGAGTGGACAGTTGCGGTCTCTCGGATGCGAACGCACCAATTATCCAGGGGTGACGGGATGATGGGATGACGGGATAATGGAATGATGGGGGTGACCCACATCAACCGCCGGAATCGAAACTCACGGATTGCAATGCAGTTTGCAGATGCTCGACTACTCGAGAGCATCCCATCATATATTTTCGTTATGCTTTTGTCGGCTATAACAGGAGAAAAAGGATTTTGGTTACAGTAACAGTTGGATTAAATTGTGCAATGCTCATGCGGAGCATTATGTCCCATCCTTCTGCTCGTTGCTCGCCTTCGGGTCCGTTTGCATTTTCCGGGGTTAGTCGTGCCATATCCATTTACTCGTTTTTGGTTCTATCAAGTTGGGGATTAGAAGCCTAGCAGCCGATGGCCTGCAGATAGCCCTGAATTTGCTCATTCAAAGCATGGCTAAGGAAAAGAGTTGATTAGTAGAGATTTTCTAAGGTGTATAGCAGCAGATACTTACCCAAATCCCTTGCCACTGGCTGTTGACTTCTTGTAGAGCGCTGCCAGGAGGAGAATCTGTCCGGTCATCAGAAGCTCTCGCTTGCCGTAGCTCAACCAGCCCTTGGATTTAACTTGGGTAGCCAGAAGTTCACGCTCCTCCAAAGGCTCACGGATCTCGCGCCTGGAAGATTCACGTCCCACTGGTTGGAAATCTCTGTCCACACGCCTTTGAACTGTTCGCTCTTCTCTTCGCAAATCATCACGGTCCACTCGATCCTCCCTTTGTGGAGTTGCTACTTCCTCTCTCTCTCGACGAGTGTCTTCACGTTCCTCTCTTCTTTCAACATCTCGCTCGACTCTTCGTAGGTTATAGCGTTCTACTCGACGAGTGTCTTCTCGTTCCTCTCGTCGCTCGTTCATTTCCCGCCTCACTTCTTGTTCTTCTCTTCGATCCACACGTCGAATATCCTCGCGTTCCTCTCCCCTTTGGTTTTCTCGCTCCTCTCGTAGTTCTTCCACCCGCCTGACGGAAATACGTTCGACCCTTGAGAGATCTTCCTCCTCGCTTTGCTCCACCCTGCGCTCTGCTACACGTTCTTCCCTTCGTACTTCTTCACGTTCTGCTCTCCGTTCAACGCGGCGGATTTGTGATTGCCTGGCTTCTGCTCGCTCAACTCCAACCCTTTGCAGATTGTCTAGCTCTACACCACGATCACTTCGAAGAGATTCACTTTCAACCTGTCGTCTGGACATATCCCTATCAGTGGATTCCTCGATGCGTCGTTCTTGTCGACGAAGGTCTACACGTTCCACTCGCTGCATGTTGTGCCTGTCGAGACCTTCGTCCCTACGGCTTTCCTCACGCTCCTCCCGCCTGGCTGAGTCTCGTTCCTCCCGCCGGAGATCACTACGTTCTTCTCGGCGATCATTTTCGCGAACTTCCCTGCGAAGATTATCGCGTGATTCGCTCAATCGACGAATTTCAAATCGAACGCGGTTCTCTCGCTCTTCGCGTCTGGCAGAGTTTCGTTCGAATCGTCGTTCTTCTGGTTGTTCATCTTGCACGCGAATGTCTCGCTCTGTTCGCCGAAGATTGTTTCGCTCCATCCGCTGCTCAGATTCTCGTTCAGCTCGCTCAACTGGTCCACGTTCCATACGCCTGGAGAGTTCCGTTTCTACGTTAGCTCTGTCGCCACGACGATTGTCTCGGGCATCAATACGATTATCGCGTTCTTCACGTCTGGAAATTTCACGGAGTACTCGGCGTTCACCAATTCTCTCGTCTGCTGTTTCCCGACGAGTTTCGACCAGTCGCTTGTTGAATTCTTGATCCTCCCGTCGGTCCACGCGATCCATTTGAGCTTCCCGAGGTTCATTGCGTGCAACACGCATTTCACGCCGCTCTACTTTCTCTTCACGAACCACACGTCGTTCTGCGCCATTTTCACGAGACTCACGGCGTTCTTCACGATTTTCACGAGGCTCTACTCGCTTTTCATGAACTTCCCGTGGATTCATTCGTTCCTCACGATCTTCACGTTGCTGTACTCGCTCATCCCGACTCTCACGTCGCTCTTCACGATTGTCACGGCGTTCTACACGCTCCTCACGAGCTTCACTTCGCTGTACTCGCTCATCACGAGTTTCAGTTTGCAGTACTCGTTCATTCCGAGCTTCTCTTCGCTGTACTCGCTCATCGCGAACAAGCCGCCGCTCTACTCGCTCTTCACGAGTTTCACGTGGTTCTACCCGCTCATCATGAGCTTCCCGTCGCTCTACTCGCTCCTCACGAGTTTCACGAGGAGATGAGTCAAACCTGACAGTCGTTTCCTCGCGCCTCTCGTTCCCACGATCATCGCGTGCCACTGACTCCACCGGCACTGTGCTCTGTCTGTAGACCATGTGCTCGTCGTAGTCATCCAGCCGATGGTGGACATCCCAGCGGCGGCCACCGCAGATGGAGCTGCCGCAGGATATCCTACTGCTTGCCAGTGCCAAGGTCAGACAGCCAAGGTGGAGCAGCAGGAGCAGGACGCTGAGCCGAAGCCTCATCATCATTGGTCGCAAATACTGTTTAGTCTCAGGTACACAAGAAAAAAAAGTTAGAAGATTTAGTTCGCTGCTGTTTCACCAGCAGGCTGTGCAACTGGAATGACTTGGCCAGAGGATTGTGACCGCTTTTATAGCAGAATACGGGCAAGCATTTAATGGATAGCACTTCCTACTCGCAATTTGTGGTGCTGATTGATTGAATTCCGCTTATCGCACATGTGCACCACTGCACCAGCACCAGCAACAGCAACAGCACCACCGAGATGATGAAGATGATGAAGACGACGATGACGACCAAGTGGCGCAGACGCCGCTGTCCAATCGTGTGAGCCTAATGCGCCTGTTCCCAATTTTGTTTTATGAATGAAGTAGAAAATTGCCAAGCCTGTGACGTCACAAGGGATATAGCCGATATGTATGGGCAATAAATAAAATAGGGAATCGATTGGCGAAACGCGTTAAGCACTCGTCGTGGTGACGTCAATATGGGGATTCTCAAACTCCAACTTTTCTCGAAAGCGAGTGCACAACTGCGATAAGCGCAATTCAATCAAAATCAAATTAGAGTGCATCGAGCACAAGGAGCTAACCCAATAATTGCGGATACTCCTGTGGCTCCTTAGATGACCATCGGGGCGTAAAATTGCGCATCGACTTGGCAACTGTGTCCCCCGGACATGACCGTGAAACCATTGCGGGTATAAAAGCCAGCGATAGCAGCTCGCAGAGCTGTCAGTTGTCTGGATAATCCGGAGGAGAGCGGTCCCCCAAAATCCCCGGTTGGCCTCGGAACCGGCGGCTTCAAAAGGTTGGACCCAAGGAAACCGGCTCCAAACTCTGCATCCTCAGCGGACAACCTTCCAAATGGAGTACACCACAACTAAGAATATCGCTTAACCAAGTATCACAACTAACTAAGTAACCAAACTCGTTATATATCTGCATCATATATATATATTCATATATTAACCGAAATGGTATTGTATCCGTAGAAGACCACTTAACTCTAAACGTAATCGTAATCGTAATCACTGTTAAACTTAGCCAGTTAAATGTTGCTGTTGTTTGGGATCGTATTGTCATGGAGCTGAAAGATTTGAGCAGCTTCTTCTCTTACTCGTCGATGTCTAACCATATAGAAACTACTCGTATATATGTATGCAACTTCTATAACAAACCCCTGATTCGAAAATATAATGCTAAGAATATAAATGCATTTGCTGAAAGGCACGATACAAGAAGCACATATGAATACAATGTTCGTTTATGGGGATCGCCCACAGCATCGGTAGTTATCCATCCAATCGTATGACTAACCAAATACCAAATAAATTGTACTCGTACTTTAATCAAACGTTGAGCAAAATTCAAATTGATTTTTTTATTGAAGGGGAAATCTTTTGGGAAGCATATGCTTAAAAAGCAATAGCAATCATACTTGTATTTAGCAAAAATTACTTCAAAACTGGCGTTTCTTTGGATTTTCTCCGAGCTTTTTAGTCTTAAATCAATACTTAACAATCAAGGAGCAGCTGAGGAACTTCTGATTTCATACAGCTAAATCACTTCCAATATCAGATAAATTTCTCTGCTGGATGGGACCCAAAAGTACACCAAAAACTCCTTGATTGATCTTTCTTAACATTCAAAGAGCTTCTGAGAAACTTCTGGTTTCATCCAGCTGAGTAAGATCCCATATCAGATGAAATTGGCGAAAGTACCTTGATTTCTATCTTAACATTCCTCCATAACATAACTCCTGATTTGATCCAGCTAGGACCCGATCTCCTTGTTTTCCTACACCATATCGCAGTGGGTGACGAGCAGTGGCCGGCTGATCTTGCCGTTTTTCGTTCCATGGGCCTGCATGCACTCGATGACCTTGTCGCCGCGAATCACCCGCCCGAAGCCCACCCGCTGACCATTGGCCACCGGCAGGGGCTTGAAGCTGATGCTGAAGTTGATGGCCCCGCCGGGGAATCCATGGACGCAGTACTCCTTGGCGCAGGAGAAGACGTAGCCATGGCGTCCGTGGTTCATCACCCGTGCATCGAACTCCATGCGACCATTCAAGCAGGGAGTAGCATGGCCAGTCGGATTTTTGCAGCTGCCCAGCAGATAGCATTCCAGCCAGAGCTGCGGAAAGATGCGGCGCACGGCGAACTCATGCGACCGCTGGGCCAAACAGGTGCGGACGAACTGCAGCACGACCAGCGGAGCGGCCTCTGTGTACAGCTGCACCACCACCTGGCCCAACGGCCGGCCGTCCATCAGGCCAAAGTGCAGGACAATCCTGGGCCGGAGTAGCCGCTTTAGATCGTAGTTGTCGAGCGGCAGGTCCAGATCCCAGCCATCGTACTTGGCGAACACCTCGCTCTCTGCCAGAGTCGATCGATTGGTCATCACACTGGGACACCGTCCACTAGACTGGGACTGCTGGTTGGGCCGCTCCCGCTGAGCACCTTCACTACCTTTCCGGCCCTGGATCCGCATCAGGCGGTGGCCCAGCTGCATGTTCCGATGCTGCAGCAGGTCCAATCTTCGCTGCATGTGCGGCAGAGCCGATCGGGATACCAGCGGTGGAGCCTCCAGCGAGTCCAGTTGGCCGCCGGTGCGCTTAATCTTCGACAGCGTCAACAGCAGGTGCACATTATCGTTGGTCCGGTTCAGAATGTGGCGGGTATCCTGCTGCAGGACGTCGAATCCGCCCAGGGTCTTGGCATTCAGCAGTGGCGGTCGCTGGTCCACCAAACTGGTGGCCCTCCTCAGGCGCTGCAGGTACAACCTATAGCGACTCAGCTGGAGTCGCCTCTGGCGTCTGGCGACCAAGGAACCACCAAAGCTATCAAACATCTCCAAAAAGAAGCGATAAGTTTACTTTTTTGACTATATATATGTACGCATATATAGATCATACGAGTTGTGTATTGGAATACTGTGAATTTGTATTTGATTTCTGTCTTAGTTGTCCGCCTGCTTGAGTTTTTTTTTAATTGGGGAGATCTATTTTATTCCATTCGGTTCTTAACAGGGACCGTAAGTATTTGGAAAACCAACGCAGTAATCATTGTGATTAAATTTTATTTTGAAAAAATATTTCAAAAATAATATCAGCGTAAACAAAAGTCATCGACAATGATTACTGGGTTGGGCTTTAGTTTGCTTAAAAATATAAATAGCAGAGCCATACTGTCCACTCTATGGATTAGCTTCTTATTGAACTGACAGCAGCACCCCAAAAGAGTTTTAATATTTGTATTATTACGTAAAGGTAGGTGGTCGAAAAGTTAGCATATTGTTTTAATTGTCATTTGTATAATTCTAGGCTATTTGGAGTATCTCATTTACGGGATTCAACATAAATAAAATGTATTTACGGTCCCTGGTTCTCAGTTTTTTTTTCTTTTCAACTTTTTTAAAGTTTTCTATCTTAAACGCACAATAATTGGGTTAGGTAAAAAAAAATCGACTGTTACACTGGTAAAATTAATAGTGCCCCAAAAGCGCTTTTCTTCTAAATCAAATATATAATATTCAAATTGAGATCGCTTCGAATTTCTGTACTTCGATATTCTATATACATAAAATACTTATTCCTAGTACAACTTTCATTTCCCAAGCTATTTCTCTTTCTCTCTCTCTTTCATTTTCATGACGCGCCCACTCTTTCGCTCTTTTGTCGCCATCTCTCTCTAAGTTGTGTGAATGGTTCAATTCAATTTCTACATCGAAACATTGATATTTAAAATACTTTCTCGCTAAGAACTACAATAACATTAATCATGTTCTGTGTTTTTAAATATCTATCCTTGTAGAACAAAGGCCCCAGGATTGGTTTAGCCTTGAGTACCAGATTAGATTGCAGCTGGCTTGCGGGGGAGAAATCTTAAACCTAAATATAAGTTGTTGGCTAACTGATCACCGGTCGATATATACTTATTGTTTCCACTTTGAACACATTTGAATTTGCTTTGAGAAAATCGCCATGGGCGTCAGTTAGAGTTGCGTTTGATCGGGGAGCCACAATCTAACCTGGCAGCAAGTGCTGTCCTGGGAACCTGGCTAAAATTGTATGTTTTTTCATTGGATGTTTTTTCTGCTTAGACGGACTCTAGTCGAAATTGGCTGGCATTGAACATGGCAATGTTTCTTAGATCATCTCTACGACAACACTACGAACTTCACTACTTGTTATTGTTCTCCTGCATCAGATCCTCGAGTGCTCCGTTGAGCCGTCCTTTGCTCAGGGCCTCCACCAGCATATGGAGTCGCTCCTCCCGCTCCGAGTGCCTCCTTTCCAATAGTGATACCTTAAAAGTGCGTTTTTATTTTAGTTGCAATATAGGGTTAGATCGAAACAATCAAATCTCTACTTGACTTGTTCTCGATTTGTTCTTGAACTCCAAATAGATCTTGATTGTTTGCCGGAAGTCTCTGTACCTTGGCTTTTAGGGCATAGTAATCCACGGGCACCTTGCGCCGCTTTTGGGTGGTCAGTGCCTCCTCCCGCTCGTTGAGTCTTTGCTGAAGAATTCGCACAGTCTCGTTGCAGGAGGCCAGCTCCCTTTCGTGGGCACTCTGCAGGGTCTTCAACTGAAGTTGTAGAGTTAAGAGTTAAAAGTTATGGCTTGAAATATTTTCCAAGAAAACTGTTGAAATACTCACATCCTGCAGCCGCTTATCGTGTAGTGTTTTATAGTCAGCCTCCAGCAGACGATATTTGTTTTGAGCCTCCTTCAGAGCCTGGCTTTCGGTGGCCGCCGGAATGTGGTCACTGTGGTGGTGGTGGTGATCATAGCCACTGGAGCGCCTCTGCAGGGAGCCACCGCTGGCCTGCGACCTAAGATCCAATTTGCTGCCTGCAAGACACAGAAGCATATGTATTTTATCAGAAATAAAACGTAGTAAATATGCAAAGAAATTCACAATAAGAAATCACAGACGAACCGCTAAGCATATTTAATTATGTAAGCTAATTCGGGGTTCATTGAGCTTCGTCTGGTCAAAATTTTGTACGAAATTTTCACAAAAAGCATAGCTATATTGCATAATCCGGCAAAGTTATGAAGAGCGATTTACATTTTTTACACACGCGTACGAAATTAAAACATACACTGATGATGCTATTTATACGGTTACCGTCGTCCGCTTTTGGCATTTACAATTATTAACAATACAAATTTGACGGAGCGACGGCTCATTAATTAGCCACAAAAACCGCACAAGACATACAACATAAAGCGAATAAAAAAACGAAACAAAATTACAAACGCAGAAAAAGAAGTAATAAAACGGCCAACGGGCAGAGGCGGCTAACAAGTCATGGCATTATAAAACGTTTATTTGGGGGGATGGGCGGATGGGGGGATGGGGGGATGGGGGCTTAGAGATAGAAGAGGTGGGGCCACTAAAGACCTGATCCAATCCAAGTCGATCCCCGGCAGCAGCGTCCACCGACCCGCAGCCAAAACAAACTCGCGTCGTCTTTGACTTTGACTTTCGCTTTCGAATTTTCTTTTTCGATGGCAGCCGATGGTAGCAGCAATAGCAACAAGACTCTCAATTCCGAATCGACAAAAGGTAAATAAACAAGCGTGGTCAGGCCGCACAGGTGACATAACCAACTGCCCGAGATGGGGTCTCCCGTACCGTCCCGCCACGCCCTCCCGCCCACAACCCGCCGTGCCTCCACATACATACATAAATCGCCTTCGACTCTGTGAATTCAATTTCGTTTTGGCCGCTTAACCCTAACAAAACCAATTTTCTTAACATAGTAACCAAATAATTCTGATTTGAATTAAGAAATACTCAATATTGAGCAAAATCAAATTTAAATTTCTAACACATAGTTTACCTTTCATTTGAAAAATGTTAATAACATTTATCTATTCTCCATCAAATTAATAAATTTAACATTTGACATTTTCAGATAAAAGTGTTTTAAATGTCTAAATATTTTAATAGCTTTTTGTTTTTAAAAATATGATCAATAAACCTTAAAGTTTATGTTCTTAATAAGATTATAAAATAGATATAAATAAGACCTCTAGCTAGCTAGGTTCGGTATTGCAGCTTAACATAGCTTAAATAAAATATTAAATAAATCTAAAAATAAAATAAAAATAATATATGTATATATTGCTCATCTAAACAAGATCATTTGATGGGAGCCCCATAAAGCCACGATTGTCAGTGGGTTAAGACGTCTTGGCCCGGCCGAAACGTGTTTGTCTTGGCCATTGGCCGATGGCGTTTGGCCGCTTAGCCGCTTAGTTGCGCTGCAATTGCCGTTTGAAACGAGTGCAAAAAGTGGTCAAAAGGCCGACAGCGTCGACAGCCGTACAATGATTTATTCCAGCAATTTATTTGCCGTCTCTACTAGAAGTGGTGTGCAGTGGGCAAGGGGGGGTAGGTAGGGGAGTATGGGAGTGGGGGAGTGGGGGAGTGGGGGAGGTGCTACCAAGTGTACGTGCTGACCGGGCAGAGAAAGTCCATAAATTACCAGCCATCCATCGGCGACCGAGTGACACAAACACAACCGAAATTAGAGAGGGGGCTGCCATGGGATGGGTTTCGGTTTCAGTTTTGGGTTTCGGTTTTGGTTTTTGGTTTTTGGTTTATGCTTTTTGGTTTTTGGTTTTATCTGCTGTTTTGGTTTAATGGATCTGCTAGTGAGTTAAGGATTTAGGACGGGGCTGGCTGCTCACCTGTCTGGCTGCTGGAGCCACTGCCATCCCTGTCCCGCTGCAGCTTCCGTATGGTCTTCTTGCACTCATCCAGCTCCCGCGTGAGTCGCTGCATGGCCTTGTTTTTGATGGCCAAGTCCACACGCATGCTCCTCACGGAGCTGAGCAGCTGGGCCTCCTCTTTGGAGCCACCGCCTCCGCCACCGCCACCATGGCTGAGCAGCGAGAGCGTGGAGTCGGACTGCGAGATGGGCAGCTTGGAGGGACCGGCGGTGACCAGCGGGGAGCGCCTTTGGCCACCGCCACTTTGCTTCGAGTTCGGACGCGACGTGTTCGGCGTGGAGTTGGCCGTGCTGCTGGTGCTGCTACTAGCGGATGGGGCATGTGGATGTGGGTGGGCATGGAGGCCATGGCCATGGCCATGGTAGACGAGGGCCGGCGAGGGGCAGCCAATGGTGTTGGTGCTGTGATCCCGCGTACCGTTCGCCGACTGCGTCTGCGTCCCCATCGTGGTGGTCATCGAGCTGGCCAATCCGCCGGTACCAACTCCACTGCCCACCGGCTGCTCCTCACCCTCCACCGGCTCCGTTTGGGTGCAATTGTTGTAGTACCTATCCGCACGCTTTTGCATATAGCGATCCAAGGTGCGCACCTGCGATTCGATCTGCTCATTCAGCTTCGTGTTGATCTCCTGCAGGCTGTGTGTGTAAAAAAGGCAAAGAAATTAATCCCGAAATCGAGAAGCACCCAAAGTGGAGGACGACCCACCTTAGGACCTGCGTCTCCAGGTCCGCAATGTGCGTCTCGTATTTGGCCTGCACCGAATTGAAGCGCGCCTGGACATTGGCCAGAATCTGCTGCGCCTTGCGATCCTGCTCCTTGGCATCCGATTCCAGCTGGGCGATGCGCTGCTCCAGCAGCTTGCGACTGTTGGCGCTCTTCTGGTCGCCCAGCGGACACATGCCCGGACTCTTGGAAGCCACTGTGGGTTACAAATATATTTTATTTAAAAATATACAAAAATAAGCCCAAGTTTGTATTCACAAAGTTATTAACAATTACACTGACAATTAAATGGAATAGTAAAAATAAATATCCAACTATTGAATTCAACATTTAGTATTTAATAAATATTTTTAAACAATTATTAAATTATTAATTGAATTTACAAGCAAGTAATAGTGCTTTAAGGTGTAAAATTTAAGGATTTTTTAAATGGTCTTTGCTAAGCCATACAAAAATTCTTTAAGAAAACTTTCAAGATTTGAAGTGCAAAATCTAAGGATCAATAAAAAGGTAAGCTAAACCAAAAAAAAAAAACCCTTAAGAAAAAGTCTAATTTCAGGTTTAAAAAAAATGTTCAAAGAACCTTCTCGTAAGCAATCTAATATTTTCTTATTTTGCCAAGTATTTGGAGTTTATTTGGGTTAATCCAAACGCACCTATCAGAGCGGAAACCGAGTCCGGATGCTTGCGCATGAGAATCCGCTCCATTTCGCGGCACTGGCGCTGCAGGTCCTGGATTACTCGACCGTCCTTCTCCTTGCCCTCGCTCGTCCGCCGGCGCTCCTGGTGCGCCTCCTCCAGTTCCTCTCGCAGCGATCGCTGCACCTGAAGCGCCTCGGTGCGATCTCGACGAGCAGCCTGGAGTTCCGCCCGCAAGACATTGGCGCACTCGTTCAGATGCTGCACGTCCAGCTTGAGCATCTCGGACTCCTCCTGCAGCCGGCCATTGTGCTCGCGGAGGGCACGCTGCGTCTGCGACAGCGAGTCGCTCTGCAGGCGAACGGAGGCCAGTCGCTCCTCCGTGTCCTTCAGCCGCTCCTGCAGCTGTTCGATCTCCAGCTTGAGCGCATGCTCGCGCGAAACACTGCAGGCGATCTGCTCGATGGGCGAACTTAGGGTGCTGACCAGGTGCTTGGGCGAGCTGCCCACCGCCTTCTCGCTGTAGTTGGCCATCGGGCGGATGGGTTGGTTGTACAGGTGGGCGTGGCCCATCGCTTGGCCACCGGGCGAACTCCTCACCGAGTGGCCGACGTCCTCTGCCAGCGGAGCAGCTGCTGGGGCGTCCACCTCCGCCTCGGTGATCTCCTCCATCTGAAAAATAATAATACGAATTCATCCATTAATATATATGTTTTTATTTATTAAAAATAATGTAATGTTATAATGTAATGGAGCATTAAAAAAAAATTAATCTTTTATATTAGTAATCTTCAAATATTCATAAGTACATCAAGAATAAGTTGCATTTTAAAATATATATTAAAGTGGTATTTTTTAGAATACCTATTTGATTGCATAGGTCGCTCTTAAAAAAACTATAAAAAGATATAGCATATAAAAAAGAATAAAACGAAACGAAGAACAAATTTAGTTAAACATATATAATATTAAAATAGAATGGTTATAATAACAATATTGAAATCACAAACATTGAAAGTTATTTTTATTAGAATACTAGCGAAAGTTGAACACATTTTCTGCATTTTACTCATGCTCCACCAAACTATCATTTAGAAAAGCATTTCGAAGAAGAAGCCCGCCGTAAAAAATGGTACTTTTTATCTTTGCAAACTTAGAGGCCCAAACTTAACATCTCTTTTCCAGACTCCGTGCAAGATGAAGAGGTTCGATGAGTTATGGGGGCCACGGGGACATGTGAAAGTGCAGGGGAGGTGTTTTCCTGGGGTGTGGCAACTTAGCTTAACGGTAATGGGCCACAAAAAGCCATGTGATGGTGCGCGCTGCGAGAATAATAATAATACTTAATACTTGTCGTCGCTTGGCGGTTTCTTTCCCAAACACCTCCATCATCCATCCTATGCCGGGATAGGCAGAGCAGAGCCGAGCAGAGCAGTAGAAAAACAGAGCCAGTCAGGCAGTACAATAAAATCAAACACGACAATGACAACTTCATGTCCCGCCGCACAGTGGAACTGGTTGCTCTTAATATTAATCAAATAATGGGGGTTTCTATTGATAAGCAAAAATTTTACCTCTTAATAAAAGTGCAGCATATTTATTAGCATTTTAAGGTAGCTCAACTAATTAAACATCTTGCTAATATTAAAACTCAAAATAATAATGATTTAAAAAATGCCGTTTAAAAAAGTTTGATAAGCTATTTATGAAGTGTACTTTATATATTTTTTTTATACAAGCTTACAGAAAAGTCAATGCAAAACACAAGACTTGGGCAACGAACTAACAGTGTTTTATAAAAGTTTTTATAATGTATGAAAATGTATTTGAAGCGAAGACTTAGGCAACGAACTAAGAGTAAGATATTTTAAGCAATACAATTAATAATAAATAACGTAATTAAAATAAACAAGTAGTTATTATTATTATTATTATTTTAAATTTTTTGTTGATCTATTGTATGTATATATTCTGTTATATGCTATATATTCTGTTTGAACAGATTTTTGCCAATTGAAAAATGTATTTTATTTTGTATTTTATTTTGTATTAAAACGAAAGACTTAGGCAGCGAACTAGCCATGCGTTTTTTCAGTCCACTGTGCGCAGTCGCAACCCTCGTCAAACGTTATCGACTGTCAAGTGGTACTTGGTACTATGGTCACCCGCAACCATAAGAAGATAATTGGGATGATGTGGGCGTGCAGCAGCAGCAACAAAAACAACAATGCACTCGACACTCGAAAAAAAGCAGCGAAATATTGAAGAAGAAAGAAAGTTCGTACCCCCCTCCACCCCTAACCTCCCACTCCCCCAACCGCCCACCATCGCCCATTGTCCCACAGTAACTGAGTGTGTATGAGTGTATATGTATGTACGTTTATGTGTTTGTGTGCATCGGTTTTAAAGTTGCTTGTTTTTTCGGCATTTACCCGCCAGCGATTGACTGACATTTTGCTGCCCACTCTCGCTTTCATCGACACTCCACTTGGTAGTAGAATCTACCTGAAAAGCATCGTACACCTCCATCGCGCACATACACACCATAACACCATACACCATACACCACACACCATTCACTTCATTCATACTTTTGTGAATTTTATGGAGCTGCCACTTTCCACTTTGAAATCAACTTAAAATGTGTGAATATTGCGATGCCAAAAGTTTTGGTTCAATAAATTAGGATATATTAGCTTGATTAGAAAATAGATTAACTTAAAAAAAAAAAAGTATTAAGGTTTTTAAAAAATGTATTTGTTTGGTTGTTATTTTTATTGTACTTAACTTAATACAAATATATTTTTTTTTTGAACAAAGTGATACATATTACACTTAATTAATTTTACTCATATTTGTTTTTTTTTTAAATTTTGTAATAATTGTTGTTTAAATGTTTCATAGATTTTGTAAATAATAGAAATGATAAATAAATATAAATTAAATTATTCAAAAATAAATAATATTTACGATCGGTTTTTTTTAAAACCCAAATTATTTCTTATATTCTAAAATATTTTATTTAATCTTTTCTGGCCTGAAAACGAAAGACTTAGACAACGAACTTTAACATAACTATAAGAAAAATCAAATTACACTCAACTGTGATTTTATTTAAATTGCCAATTAATTAGCACTATTGCGCGAAATAGCCGCGAAAATTTGTGGAATCCATTAGATTTATTTGCAGTCAGGTGCTAAAGAGTAGGCTAAAGAGTGGGCACTCGCCAACCACCAGATGTCGGTCGATTGATCGAGAAACTATAAATACTTATGGCGGACTATTAAGGACAATTTCACTACTTGACCCAGGCAATGGCGATTTCAATGTGTGTGTTGCGCTGCCCGCTTTGCAATTACTTGAACTCTCGCTCTTCCTCAATTGTCATTTGATAAACTCCACTTATAAAGTGAAAGGAGCGGTAACAACAGCAATGGAACCGGCAATTGTTTGGCCACTGACGAGGTGCGGTTGATTAGAGAGCAGAGCGTGGGTAATACCAATACAAAACACATGTAAAAAAAACACAAAATACAAACAAAAAAAAAACAGAGCGGCAGAGCAACTTACTCAGAAATCATGTCAATGAGCAAATTGGAAACTTTTAAAGCGCGCCATCACAACACAAATAAAAAATAAGACGATCTGCGTATGATTTCGTGTGCCAAATCTGAGGAATCACGGGTGCGTCCTGCTGCACTCGGTAAATAAATCTATATATATATATATATATGAATAAAACCATTAACATGTCCAGCAACCGATTCCAATGACAATAACTGCAGTTAACACGCAATTGCCAATTGACATCGATTGTCAATTGAGGCTCCCGCTGATTCAGTGATTCAGATCGAGATCAAGATATAGATATGGAAAATATGGAACTTCAGAATGATTTGCTCTTGCTGTGCATATAGAAAGTCGTGCAGTCGATAATTGTGACACTTGATGGCACTTACAGAGAGCTACATTTAATGTTTATCAATATTTAAATGGGAAAAAGTTATTTATGGAATCAATACTTAATTGTTAAGAGGAAGTGTAAAACATGCGCTTTTTTCTTCGCTTTTTCAACGTGTTTAGTTTAACTTTATTTAACTCGAAACAGTTTTTAAGCGTAAGCCAAGCGTTTATTATTAAATGATAGAGTCGGCAGGTTGACACATAAATAATCTATAAAACAAATGCTTCAGTTGTATTGTTTTTAATTTAAATATTATATGAATATACAAATTGTATTTTGCAATTACCTCAAACAAAAATATTATTATAAATAAAATGAGGAAATACTGTAGTTATACATTTCAGCTAGTTTCTAGGATTTAGAAATAAATTATCTAAAATACAAATACTTCACTTTTATTGTTTAAATAAATAATTAAATATTTTTTTAAGTACAAATTGTATTCTACAATTTCCTAAAACAAAAATATTATTGTAAATAAATTTAGAGATACTGTAGTTATATTTATAATTAATTATAATTATATCTTTTATATTTTTTTTTTAACGCAGTTCCTATAACTGTTTTCGAATTCGATTAGTTTCTCGTGTTATTTTGAGGGGGTTGTCTGCGTATATCTTGAGTTTAGATCTGTTATAGCACTGCATACATTTTGATTATCAATTTCTGGTTATGCTTTGCATTGATCCCGAAAGAAAGCGAGAGCGAGTGACCCGTCGATATGGAAATGTGGGTTCATAGATGGAAGAAATGCTGGGCGACATATGGTTATGGTTATGGTCATGGTTATGGTTATGCCGATGACATTTGCTTGAAGTTCGGGGAGTGGGGGGATTAACATATGAGACCGCTGGACTGGTGGCTTCTCACAAGGAAGAGAGCCACAGACCCGAGACACTGAAAACATTAACATACATAACAAGTTCCACTCTGTGATGGCCAGTGTAAGCGGGCAGCGACGCCGACTGCGGCAGCGGCAGAGCAGCAGAGCGGCTGAGAGAAATATCGAAAATGAAATGGCAATACTTTCCCAGCGTTGGTATAAAAGCGCCACTCCACCAATGGGACATGTCTCATTACGGTTCACAGTCAGATCCCGCTAAGATGTACAACGCGAGATCGCGTGGCAGCGCTGCCATCGAGGGGATTTCCCCACAAAAAACACTGCTCACCATCGGCTCTCTGTTCCTAATCCTTGGCTTTGTTGGTCCGGCGACCTCCATGTCGCTGGATCGTCTGGCTCTGGAGAGGAACGAGCTGCCGGCGGATCAATCCCAGCAGCAGCAGCAACAGCAGCAGGATGTCCTCGTGGACGATATGAAGCTCACCTCAATCCCATCCGCCGACTCCTCGGACATGTATATGCTGGTGCCCGAAACGGTGGCCAGCCAACTGGAGGACACCGAGCATGTGCATCGCAACACCATCGAAGCCAATCCCGAATCGGAATCGCCCGCCTCCACCGACATGCTGATGCTCGAGAGCGACTCCAGTCCGGCCATGCAGCTGGTGGAGCTGCCCAGCGACATCACCGTGGCCGAATCCCAGCCAGAAACGGAGCACGATGCCCAGCAGCAGTCCGAGTCCATTGAGGAGCATGTGGTGCTGATGAAGCCACTCAGCCAAGAGGCTCAGCTGGAGCAGGCCGTGGACCAGGCCACCGAGGCGGCACCACTTCCCATCCTGCACGATGATCTGCCGGAGGATGAGAAATCTCCGGCCGAATATGAGGAAACGGAGAAGGAATCCGAACCGAACATGGATGATCAGGTGCCCGAGGAATCGGAACCCCAGCCGGAACAGGTGCAGCCGGAACAAGTGCAGCAGGAGGAATCACAGAATCCACAAATCGAAGCTGATGTTGAGGCGGAAAAGAAGCCGGAGAATGAGTCACAACCTGAGGTTGAAGCTGAAACTGAAGCTCAACCAGCTGTTGAGCCACAGCCTGAAGTGGAATCACAGCCAGAGGCTGAAGCCCAGAATGATGCTGAGTCCCAACCTGAAGTTGAGTCCCAGCCAGAAGTGGAAGCCCAGCCAGAAGTGGAAGCCCAGTCAGAAGTAGAATCCCAGCCAGAAGTGGAAGCCCAACCTGAAATGGAAGCCCAGCCAGAAGTGGAGGCCCAACCAGAAGCTGAATCCCAGCCAGAAGTTGTAGCACAGCCTGAAGTGGAAGTCCAGCCAGAGGTGGCAGTCCAACCTGAAGTTGAATCCCAACCAGAACCAGAATCCCAGCCAGAAGTCGAGGCTGCAAAGCCCAGTGATAACGAGGTGGACACCACGGAGGCATCTCTGATGGAAACCCTGGTCGAGGGCATTGAAGAAGGTCTCACCGCCGCCATGGACAACCTGGTGCCCGAAGAATTGGCCGAGGCTTCAGAGAACAAGGAGCAGGAGCAGGAGCAGGAAAACGATGAGGAGCTGTCGCCAGTTACAGAAGCCACCAAAGAGCAGGCAATTCCCGAGGTTTCCGAGCAGGAAAAAGAAGAGGAACCCGAAACCGAACCCCAACTTTCGTTGGCCGATGAGCCAGAGGCTGAGATGGCCCAAGCTCCAATTGAAACGCCAGAGGAAATCAAGCCTGAAGAGGAATCGCAGCCGGAGGAGGCTAAGCCGGTAGAGGAATCCAAGCCAAAGGAGGAAATCAAGTCGGATGAGCAGGCCAAGCCAGAGGAGGAGCCCCAGTTTGATGCCGAGTCTCAGCCAATTGTACATGAGGAGAAACCTGAGGAAACTGCAGCTGAGACTCCTGCTGGAATTCCTGCTGAAATTCCTGCTGAAACTCCAGCTGAAATCCTTGCTGAAATTCCTGCTGAATCTCCAGCTGAAACTCCTGCTGAAACTCCTGCTGAAATTCCAGCTGAAATTCCTGCTGAAATTCCTACTGAAACTCCTGCTGAAATTCCTGCTGAAAACCCAGCTGAAATCCCAGCTGAAATCCCAGCTGAAGTACCAGCTGAAACTCCAGCTGAAATCCCTGCCGAAATCCCTGCTGAAAACCCAGCTGAAATCCCAGTTGAAATTCCTGCTGAAATCCCAGCCGAAGAACCAGCGAAAACCCAAGATGAAATCCAATCCGATTCTACCCAAACCGAGACCGAAGTGGAGAAGGTGGAGAAGGAAACCAAGCCCGTGGAGTCGTCCCTGCTGACCACCATCATACCCATGCCCATTCCAATGGTGGTGCCTGCGCCACAACCCACCATCCAGGTGCAGGATAGTGTGCTGAACTACGTCAATGCCTCGTTCCTGCATCAGCAGCAATCGGAGGCGGATCTGCCCAAGACGGAGGAAGAGTCCCCGTTCAATGCCCATCTGCGTCGCTACGATGGCGCCCAAGTGTGGCGCATTGTGGTCCAGACCGACAAGGACAAGCGAATGGCCGACGAGCTGCAATCCAAATACGGTGGGTACTCACTTAATGATCCCTAATACAACTATGGATGGCTAATTGTATACATTTTTAACCTATGCAGATGGCCAACTGTGGAAGGAGGTCAAGCAGGAGGTGGACTATCTGCTGAAGCCCCAAGTGTTGGCCGCTGCCGAGCGTCACATTCGCGCTGCCAATCTCTCGCGGATTGTGCTCATCGACAACCTGCAACATGTCATCGAAAAGGAGAATCCCCCAGCGGAGAAGATTGCCGAGCTCCAGAACCGAAAGGGTAAGTGATGGGCCAGAAAGTTGGCAGTTTATGGGGATTCAGAAAGCAATTAATCTGGATTAAGTTAGAAAGACACCAGAATGATGTGGGAAATACATAATTTTATAATAATATTATATCAAAAAGTATTTAAAGCCAGTCAAAAAATATCCGTGGTAATAAAACACATTTCGAAAGAATGGCAAGAATTCAGTGAAAATAGCCAATAGATAAAAAAAATTACAAATATGTCACAACTAATTAAATAAAATGTGAAGTAAAAGGTATTTCAAATTAAAAAGGGTGAATACAGGATAAGTAAATTTATTAAGCAAGCTAAATATATATTAAAAAGGGGAACACTCAAAGAAATCCAAATTAATGCTTTAAAAAATAAGCAGATTTCTGAACTATAGTTAGAAATCAAAACTTTTACATTGAAATAATCCGATTTTTTAATTATAGTTAGACGATAAACTCTTAAAATAGAAAGAGTTAGTTATAGATATCAAACAAAGCTTCAAAAACTCTTGCTTGTAATATTCAGGGCAAATAAGAACATTTTACACGGCCAAAGGGATATTTGCATTTGTGTTATTATTTTGTGGAGGAGTAAGGACTTGTGAGTGACAGGTGGTGCAATCAGGCGGTGGGCCGATGCCACCCCTTTTTTGTGCATAGGCCAGCGAGGTGTCGCCGCAAACGAGCATTTAATGCACTCGGCGAGGGGCGTGTGAAAAGTCATCAAGCGCAAAGTGGCTTTGCCATAGGAACGTGCCATGTGCCACGTGCCACGTGCCAAGAGCCACAACCCATGAGCCATGAGCCATGAGCCATGAGCCATGAACCATGAGCTCCAATAAAAAACGCACCCGGAGGAAAAGGACCTGGGTCCTTGCAAGACGCTATTGTTTAATCGATAGCCGGCGAGAAATAAGGGAATGCCAGACGACGCCAAGACGGAGATGCCTTCTTCGGGGGTTAGGGGTTAAGGGTTCAGAGTTCAGGGTTCAGGTTCAAGTTGAGGGTCATGGATAGTCGTCCCCCCCCTTAATTAACAGCAGGTTGAATGAACCCCAGGGGTTAGTGCATCATATTTATCTTCTGTTGCTGCATTACAGGACACCGCCTCACCTGGCAGGCCTACCATCGCCTGGAGGACATCCACGGCTTCATTGACTACATGGCCAAGACCTATCCCGATATCTGCTCCACGGAGATCATCGGCTACTCGGTGGAGAAGCGACCCCTCAAGATTCTCAAGTGAGTGCAGGCAAATACTGTAGCCACACAATATGTTATATATAATATACATATATAATCGCCCTTAAGGATTTCCAATGGCAATGCCCGTAATGCCGGCGTTTGGATCGATGGCGGCATGCATGCCCGCGAATGGATCAGTCCGGCCACAGTCACCTACATAGCCAACCAGCTGGTCGAGGGCTGGGAGGATCTGCCCGAGCACATGCGCAGCATCAACTGGTACATCCATCCGGTGGCCAATCCCGATGGCTACGAGTACTCCCACACCACCGATCGCCTGTGGCGCAAGAATATGCGTGCCCATGGACGCCAGTGCCCCGGCGTGGATCTGAATCGCAACTTCGGCTACAAGTGGGGCGGCAAGGGCACCTCCGCCAGCCCCTGCTCCCAGACATATCGCGGCAGCAAGGCCTTCTCCGAGCCGGAGACCTTCTACATCTCCAAGTTCATCAGCGGCTTCCCGCGGGAGACCTTCCAAGCGTACCTCTCATTCCACAGCTACGGCCAGTACATCCTCTATCCCTGGGGCTACGACTACCAGCTAACCCAGGATCGGGCCGATCTCGATCGCGTGGCGCGACAGGCGGGAACGGTGAGTTTTCGAAATCACACATCAAATCTCACATATTGCTAGACAATTCTTCTATGGTTTGTTTCAAAATTTAAAAAAAAAGTGTTTTATTTCCGGTTTAGCAAGCAAAAAAAAATTTTAAAACTTATATATTCATTTACTCATTTCCACTTAAACCAATGGAAATTTTAAATAATTTTAAATATCCATTTGCAAAGGTATTTTCAATAATCAGTTCTTTAAAAATTCAAAATATTTATACATTTTAGAAATCTGAAAAATCATTTAAAAACATTCGACATTTCCAACACATTTTTACATCACTTAAAAAAAAGTCTAAGATTATATAAATATTTGAAACAGCTTCCCTTTTCTATCTAATGATTTATGATATCGAATTTAAAAAAAAAGAGCTTTTATCAAAATTCCTCCACTGATAAAGAAGATGTTTTATAAACAATTACGAATCAAAATAATTTGTATAATTTAAAACATGAGAACCTTCTTTATAATTATGCATATCAATGCAAAATTTAAGCTTTTAATTTAATTTGGCTTTTAATTTTGATCAATTAGATTAAAACAATTAATAAGAACTTAAAAAACCTCCTGCTAATGAACTCGTTAATTCTTTATTCCCCAGAGCATTACCAAGTCGACTGGAGTGAAGTACACGGTGGGCTCCTCCGCCACCACTCTGTATCCCGCTGCCGGTGGCTCCGATGACTGGGCCAAGGGCATTGCGGGCATCAAGTACGCCTACACCATCGAGATGGGCGACACGGGCCGGTACGGATTCGTCCTGCCGGCACGCTTCATCCAGTACAATGGCAAGGATGGAGTGACCTTCGCCGACACCGTGGCCAGGGCCATTGCCCAGGGACGCGGAAAGGCGGTGGCCAGGAACAGCAGTGGCGGCCGGAGGCGTCGCCACTAGTCCCGCCCACTTAGTTCAATGCGATTTTTTTGTAAATCAGCCTAATTGATTTTTTTTTTGCTATTTATATGAATACTATTTATTTATTTATTTATTCTACTTGTAACTAGACAAATTGAACACACACACAAAAGACACCACACAAAAACAAAACAAAAAACTCATCAAAATGGACTGAAAAATGTTTATTGAAGAAGTGAAAAATTAAAAAACTTAAAAATTTAATAACCATACTTTTATTCAAATGGGAAGGCGTTAAGTTCAAACACTGGAAAAAAAAACAGTAAAACAGACTGCAAATTTGTTCCGTTTAATACTGTTTATATCGTTAAAAAAACAAATGTTTAAAAACAAAAGACCTTTTTTTATTCGTTCAAAAGATTTTTAATTAGCTCAAGACCGTCTAAAGCTTTTTATTATCAAAACAAAAGAAGACAATCAATATGCATTAAAGAAAAAAAAAAACAACATTTAAAAAAAAAAAAAAAAAAAGTATTTAAGACCAAGAAATTCATATTTCCTTAAAATAGGTGTAACATCAAATCCACAACTTTAATAGCTGATATAAACACTAATTACTTTTCAAAGATTTAGAAGCGACCCTCTTCTAGGGATTATAACAGTATAACAGTATGACAGTAGCTCACGCCTCACCTCACCCAAAGTAAAAGTCCGAAATGAAAAGCATCAAAATCAGCGGCATTCCGTCAATATGCAAATGCGTTGGCCTTAATTGGGGAATCGGGCGAATTATGAGAAAATAGAGAATGGCGGAGGAGGAGGAGAAGGTTGCTTGGATAATGGAGAACAGAGAACGAAGAATAGAGATTTGAGAATTGAGAACGCGGGAAGCCGTTAGCCGGAGGCTGCGGCTCACAAATCGATTTGCGAACGCATTAAATGCGCACCAACGGTTCAATCGATCGCACCACACACAACAAGCTACGAAATCTGCTACAAATTCTTAAACTATATCTATAAAATGCAACTCCGCCTCTGGAAGTGGGCGTGGCTGCCTCTGGTGCTGCTAATTGCCGCGAAAATGAAGCAAGTTGGCGGTAGGAACTATCTGGATTTAGCCCGCACCGATAATCGGTTAACGAGGCTACCATTTTTTGGCGGCGGTGTGGGTCACCTGCTGAGATACCTCCACCCGTTGACCATGAATCCCGCATCCGAACGCGGTAGAATCTCGGAGCTTCGCAGCGATTTGGATGCCAACTATGTGAGGTATCGAGGTGCGCAACTGTGGAAGCTCAACTTTAATGCCACCCGAGGTTCATCCATGGCGGAGCGAGAGGAGGAGGAGGAGGAGGAGGACGCTGGGGAGGAGCGACAGGTGGTGGACTCACCGGATGCCCAATTCAACGAGGTGGTCGCTCTTTTCGGTGAGTCCAGTAAACAAAATGCCCTGGAGGGGCTATCAAAAAGTCTGCCAAGCCGCACAAAAGAAGAGAAATTGTCAAGCCTAGAAGCACACTCGAGGTGGGGAAAATAGTTGTTTTTTTTTAGTTCTTCGATAATCTTAGTTTTCAAACCCAATTCGTTTTCAAATGACTTTCATTCCGGTTTTTAGAAAAAAAAGGTCAAAGGCCTTATTTTATTTAACAAAAATAAAACCCTTTTAGGTAAATTCATTTTTGAAAATCTGAAACATTTTTAAACAATGTATCTTTATAACCGAGTAACGGTAGCTTATTTAAAATAATTGTTTAAAATTAAAATTTGTTTCTTATTTGAAAATATAGTATCTTACTCTTTATAAAATGTAATTCCACTGCTTAGATCTTATAATCTTTAATATTTCCTTCATATTTACTGATAAACACACTAAGAGCTATTGTCTTGACCCCGTCTGTGTTAACGAGAGGCGGGTTTTAGGGAGGGGTCAGGGCAGGTCAGGTCAACTCGGCCACCTGAGCACGCATTCGCACGAATAAATTTGTGGCTTTTGGCATAAATCAGAGAACCGCTAGTCCAGAAGTTCGGAATCCAGAACCGAGTTAGATTTAGTTCGAAGATGCAGCCGCTGGAAGCGCTCACGTTTGTGGCCCTGATCGGATCAGTTTTTGGCCAAAAGCTGCTGCTGTGGAGGAGCGTATCCGTGCCAGAGATATCCGGAATCTCCGGCCTGCCCCTCGCCCTTCTGACCCTCAATAGCAGCGAGCTCTACGAGTCCACTTTCGAGGGCCTTCAGTGGCTGTCGCCCTTGGATCTGCGGCGATTCGACTTTATATCGCCGGGCTCCTCGTTCCAGATCAACAGACGCTACCGAAATGGCAGCCATGTGCAGCGATACTACGGCTTTCAGCTATGGAAGATCCATGAAACCCGACTGGAACTGCCCGAACTGAGGGCCTTTTGGCGGCACTTTGGTATAAACAACGCACGAGAGAATATCAAATATCAACAATATTAGTCATCAAATAGGTCTTTTAACATTTTTTTTTAAGGCCTGTCTCATGTTTCCAATCGCTTCATATTTGCGAAAGTAAATTCAGCATAACACAATCTGTTCTCAAAACTTAGTGAACTATACTTGTATATATAACTTTTTGCAAAATGACTCTCATAATTATGCAAAATCTATTTCCTACTTTCTCATTTGCAAATTTTTGTAAATATTCATTTAACCTAATTTAAAACTTTTTCTTAAGGGAGTTCGACTTGTTATAATAATAAGACATTAGGGCTTAAGAAAATAAGAAAAATAATAACATTAGGCGTGGAAAACCCATTTAAGATGGACTTTCTGATGTCTGATTTTTAAAATCAAATATATAAATGGCATTAAATTTGCAATGAGTATTTTATATACCTCTATTTTAATGACTTATAATGCTACCCAACTTATTTCAGGCAGCGAGGTATGGAATATCAACCAGGATGGCATCGACATCCTCATCGAGCAGCGCAATGTGGCCGATGCTCGGAAGTTTATGGAAAAGGTGGGCTTTAGCTACAACATTATGATCGACGACATCGAGTCGGCCATTGATGAGACCTATGTGGAAGTGCCGGCCGTGGAGCATCCCTTGGATTCCGTGCGTAACAATTCGCTGCCGTGGATGGAAAGACCGGGATCCCTGATGAGCTGGCGTCGTTATCACGATCAGGCGGATATCCAGCAGTTTCTGCAAACGCTGCTCGAAACGTACTCCGAAAATGTGGAAATAATCCAGATCGGTGTAACGCGCAACAAGAGACCACTGGAGGTCATCAGGTGGGTTAAAAAAAAATTTAAATCACTGGAAAGGTTGTCTATGCAGTGCTAAAGAGCTTTATTAAACGAATTTTAATAAACTAAATTTTGGATTGCAAATATAGGCATAGGAAAACTTGTATTTTAATTTACCTAAATGTTTAGTTACCAATCAACAGAATTAGGTTTAAATATATTTGGTATAGTTTTAGATTTTCAGGACAAATTTAAACTGTTAATAATTCTTTAAAATTCATTTGGCAAAAAGCTGCAGTAAATAATTTTCATCAACTTTATAAAAATAATTTAAAATTCTTGAGAACGCAATTATTTTTTATGTCTGATCTATTTAGTTTATAGGACTAGCTTGATAAAAATACACAAACAAATTATAAAATTGCTTAAAAACCAGTTTTGACTGCTATTTCCATAAGCCAACAAATTATTTTTTTTCTACCAATTTTGCCCCACCTCTATTTGTTTTTAAGGGTCTCCAATGGCAATCCGGATAATTGGGCCGTTTTTGTGGATGCAGGACTGCAGGCCAGGGATTGGTTGAGTCCTGCCGCCCTCACCTACGCCATTTCCAAGCTCACCCATTTGTGGGGCAGGTCCAAGGTTAAGGGTCAGGGTCAGAGGGCGGAGAAGGCGATGCGCCGCATCGATTGGTACTTCCTGCCACTGGCAAATCCCGATGGCTACCAGTACTCGCGCCACACCGATCGCCTGTGGACCAAGAATCGGGCCTTCGACAGTGAAAGCGGTTGTTACGGCGTGAATCTGGACCGGAACTTCGAGTACGGCTGGGGCGGCACCGGATCGACGAGCAATCCGTGCAAGAATCTCTATCGCGGCGCCGAAAGCTTCTCCGAGCCGGAGAGCCGAGCCCTGCGAAGTTTCCTCTCCGGAATGCGGGAGTATCTGGGTGCCTACGTATCCCTGGGTGGCTATGGCCAGGCCATCACCTATCCCTGGGGCGATGCGGATTACGTGACGGAGAACCAGAGGGATCTGAAGCTGACGGCCAGGAGGGCAGTTCTCGCATTGAGGCGTTTAAACCAGGCGGAATACTCGGCGGGCACCAGCTATCGCCAGAAATTGGCGCGGCCCGGAAACTCCGCCGACTGGGTGCAGGATCGCATCGGACCCCAGATGGTTTTCAACATGTTCCTCAAGGATCAGGGACGCTACGGTTATCTGCTGCCACCTCACTATATCGTGGAATCCGGCGAGGAGGTCTTCGAATTCATGCGCACCATCGCCCAGCAGTTGCAGTAAAAGCAAACATTTACAACTTCACTTTATATATTAGTCCATTGGTCAGGACCCGAATGTTATAGCCTATCCTAATCCCTAAAAACCACCGTATTTATTTTGTTCTATAAATATATATATATCTTTCTGGAAAAGGTTATATTTATGTAATTATTTAATTAATAATTAAATGATAGTTGGGTAGGATATCCCCAGAAACCATTGTATTTAATTTATTCTATAAATTTATTTATCTATTTACAAGTATATGTTATGTATGTTTGTTTCTTTTTTTTTGCGGCAAAATCTTTATGAAACTGAAACAATATTAACTTTTTCTTTTTGAACTAATAATAATTGGTGTAGGGGATATCCATTGTATTTAATTTTTAATCAAATTTCCCCTAAAAATATATATAATAATTTTGGCGATAAAATCTTCATTAAACTGAACAAATATGTTCTTGTATCCTAAGAACAGAGAAAAACTAGGTTTATTTAGATATCATTTTTTAAAACGATCTATAAAGAGGTTATCTTAAAGGTATTTAAAACCACATACGTGATGAAAATACATAAATCGTAAGCGCACCTAAAATATTTTCTTCTCAAATATTAACTGCCTACTTTTAGGCTAAAATGGGT